TTATTTTTGATTTATAACACCTTTATTTTTTTTATACCAAAACAATTTTATTATTTTTTGATTCTTTAAAGGGGGTACTTTTGATCCGACCCTTGAAGACTAATTAAGGATCTTAGACTTTATAACAAGTGTCAATCATAGAGACACTCTAGAATGTCAAAGTTTCGTTTCATAATTTCGTCCTCCATCTACCCCTTCCTCCTCCCCATGCAGGTGCCTTCCTTCTCTATATTTTAAACACAACTGTCCATGTGGGATGTACAATTTGTTAATAAATGTACAATTTATCAAGATTTCTGTTCGAGGAAGTATCTTTATTTTTGTCCTTTATCGTACTATTCTATACGGGGAGATGTCATGGAAGACCCATAAATCTGGGTATCCAGCAAGGAAAGATCTCGACATTGGAATATCCCTGGAAAAGTGGATGAAAACTCATATAGGATCCTCCGCATCCCCATCCAACCTCCCCGTCTCATCAAAATGCAACTATCTAGGTAATACCACCACYGTGGTCCATGTGGRATCTTCTTTTCTCAGGCTCATACATATTTCATGAGGACAAAACAAAGGATTGTGAAGATGCTCGAATAGGAAATTCAAATGAAGATAAGGAAATGCTCACTTTTGGCTTGCATTTTCTCCAAGAAATGTCAATGAATTGATAATAGTTTATATTGAAAACTGGCAAGACTATTTCACCCTTAATACAGACAACACGTTAAAGGTTAACTGCATTTCTCGCTGTTTGGATATCACTCATTTCCTTGTTTGATCTTTTTACTTTTATTACTTCTTGGCTCGAACACCGCTCTCATGAGCGTTGTTACCTCTTATTGCGCTAGGCATAAATTATCTGCAGGAACGAAAAGGTCAAATCCCAAGGGACTAAAATTGGCTATTCCAACAGCATTATCCATGTGGGATGTGGTTGAAATGTAAATAGGGTCAGAATTATCCATGTTGAACGCTTTACTCTGGAATCGATTCACGCAATTAATCCTACATCACAACATCACTTTTATATATTACTACTTTAATGTCCAAGTTCCCTGCAATCTCTCCTTGAAATGAAGTAATATTGTGGTACAAGATTGTGATCAGGACACTTGTCAACATATAGTTTGCATTCTTTGAAATACATTTTTCACGTATATCAACACCTAGCTCGCATGCGTGCATCTTTTTCCACTTTATTTACTCTTACTGGTCATGTGAACATGCGTCACTTCATTGTTTACAATAGAAATTATAATAATTTGATTTTATTATAAATTCCCGTATCACTCTCTCCAATCAGAGAGCGCATCTTGATTTCTCCTGTCATCTTCGTTTCTGGATTCATCGCATCCCTGTACAGGTAGAATAACGATTACATTGCTTCTGACAACAAGCTGATCTTTTCTGAGGCACTTATACGCGTGGGATGCATTCCTGCTAAACTGCGCATGTGCGATAGAGATTTAATTTCTTGAATGTTTTATTGAATTGTGGAAAAAAACTGCAATAGGCTTATTTAATGTCTATTTCGATGATATTTCCGCTGGGAGAAAAAAAAGGGAAGGGAAAGATTACGCACTCGTAACTGTCGCTAATGAAATTTCGTTTCCCGACGAAACCCTCGGAAAACTGTCGTAACCGATAGTGCATTGCGATCTATCAACGGAAAATTATCGAGAGAGACATGACGCAAGCCAATGGACAACAACCACTTGGACTTCATGATTTGCCTTTTAAGACCACGTGTCATTCTCTTGCGAATAAGATTCTTTGTTTGAGTTGTATCCATATTCATGTGTCTTCTCATGCTCAACTGCTAAACAAAGAAATGATACTCTAGGGAATGACACATCTGGAATGGGCAAACAGTAGAGTAGGTCTATAGGCCACGTGCTTTTATGTTGTCAAGGTGTTTATAGTGTATAAGAACGAGTTTTTTGATACGGCTTCCCAAGCCCATTGATATAATTGATTGAATACAACCAATAGGGGCTGTTCATTAGGGTCACGTGGGTTGAAACACTTATCAAGACAATGTTGATAATAATAACACTTTAATAAACATCCAAACATAATAAGATATCAATATTTTATTATTATCTCATACTACAATTAGATTGACTTTGAAACAATTTAGTCTTAAGAATCATCATTTAAGTATTACTCTATCCTTCTCATCTCTCGATAATTATGAATTTGTAAAATAATTCAATTGTAAAAATGAAGGGCGGAGATTATTAGATATATATATATTCGAAATCTTAATTTAAAAAATAAATGTAATAAATAATGAATAAATTTAATTCGCCTTGCTTGGAGAATTTCCTTTAATGAACATCATTTGGTATACTGCGCTGAGATATCCATCACTGTTGTCAAAACTGCAAGAATAAAGTATGCATTACAATATACATTAAACATCTCTCTATTTTTCATTGACTTTGTTTGGTAGGTTTATCTACAAATAGCTTGCTTTTGGGAATGGGTTGTTTGTATATAATGTTTATCGATGCTTAGTGCTTTTTGACACACGAGTTGAAAGCAATCAAGTTGACATATGATTAAACAGCGAGCAGAACCAATCAGAGAGAAGTAAAACTAAAACCCATTCACTTAACATGATGCAAACCCAATTCAAAAACTGGCCGTTTTCCAGAGCCTAATCTGCCAGACGATTATTTTAAAATTAATTTATGTAAATATTAAGTGATCCCAACATTTATTGAACTGATCACCAAGGCACAAGATTTGACGCTCATACGATAGTCTAACGTCCACCAATAACATTCTTGTTTTCCCTCCAAACATCTTCTTTGCTATCTGAAAATGATTTCTAATTTCCATCCGAACTTCTTATCCCGCGCAATAAATATTAATTTCAAATGAAAGAAAATCGCGCAATCATGCTGAGAAATCAGCGGAAATGAAAATCTCTATGCGATGATGGTTATCATTCGTTCGCAGGTGAAGACTTACTAGTCTTTGAACCAAGAAAACTGATGGGGAAAGGGTTCTCGCTGCTTTAAAGAATTGCTTTATTTTAGGCAGATACTTTTCATGTATTCAGACCTAAACGCTGGGCTGAATATACCATAAATGAAAGGGTTCACTGCACTTGCTGACATGCACATAATAATATAGAGAACATAGACTTGCCGAGGGAGCTTATAGTCTCCATTAACATTCTCCATGATATCAATAACAGCTATCTGAACCATGTAAAGTGAAAAAACCAGGAATATAGCGAATAATGTTTTGGTGATGTTAATATCCTTTCTGTTGATAGTTGTTGTCGTTGTGTTGTTGGTTGTACTCAGTGCAGCGTTGGCTATCCTCTTGTTATGTGATCGCACCTTAATGTATATGCTGCAGTAACAGAAGATGGTTATGCAGTACGGTAGCATGATGTAAAATGCAGTAAGGGTTGTAAAATATGCCTGTGAGAGCTGCGTGTAAGTGTAAATACAAACTAGTTTTCCTGGGTGAAGTTGAAAGTATTTTCTTTGCAAAAGGGAATTCAACGGTCCAAGCCAAGCTATGATAACAATGACACAAAGCATTAATAACGTCTTTCTGCGAGTGAAAACTTTGCGATAAAGATGACTCTTAACGATCTTGAAGTAACGGTTCACTGACATGAATGTTACTGTGAAAATGGAGGTGTACACCAGTGCTATTGCAAGATAGGCTTGAAACTGGCAGACCACATGACTGAACGGTTTTCCCCCCAGGATGAAAGCGCTCAGAATCAAAGGCAAGACAAACACCGCCATGGAGATATCAGTAAATGCAAGGACCACCACACTGTAGTTAGTAATGGTACGAAGCCTTGGAGTTTGATAAACAGCACGACACACCAGAACATTACCAAGCAATGTTACTAACATGATGATGGTTAGTATCCCTGACTCCACTATTGTAGTACTCAGTGAACGATCTTTTAATTCTTGCTGTAAACGATTGAAGTTGTCTTGAACATCAGCCATCATCTGACGAGTACCTAGAAGTAAACTGTTGATCGTTTGGGACAAACCAGATCAATCAAGAATAACAAAGCTAGGCAAGCGCTTCTTGATTAAATATATATAAATTATCATTTATGTCATCTTGCAGTCTGCGCAGTAGCTCGCTGTGGGAAAATGAATTGTAATAAAATCTATGGCCGTCATGTTTGTTGACTTCAAACATGGCGCCAGTGACGCCACGTCTTATAATTAGATAGAAGTAGATTATGAGGAGAGTTTACTTTTAGTAAATGAATAGTCTTGACACTCCATTTGATCATTTTTGATTCAGCTCAAGGCAAAGGAAATGAAGAATTTGTTTCAATGAGATTGACGGAATTAACTACAGACCATTAATTCCAGGATGTTGGTCTTGAAGAAAATAGATAATAATGGGGCAAGAAAAGATAGAAGCACCAGTTTTGACTCATCAGTTTTTGTAATAGTCAGTTTTATTTTTCATTAGCACTCGCATGTTTAGAGCGTTTGTACGTGACTTCATGTTGGTATACCAAAACAATATGTTTTCCATCCTCGGGGAATTGAAGAACTCTATTTTTTATGTAAAATCTGTACAGAAAGTTTCTATTTTTTGGAATACCAACATGGCTGCCTTGTCACTTGCTTGAAAACGCAGATAATAGATTCTGCAACAATTTGAACTGGTTTGTTGTTGTGTGTGTGTTTTTTGTCTATCAGTGTCTTTCCATCTTCCAGACCGTCCATCTGTCTGTCTGTCCTGTCTATTTGTCTATATATCTTTCTCTGTTCCTCTTTCTTCTTTCCTTTGATTGATAACTACATTTAACTAACATTGCTTATTCTGATGCTGATAGCATTTTGGAAACCCTTAAGTGGCCAAAACTTGAGACTCAACGACAAGTGCGTTTAGCTACAATGGTCTACAAATCGGTACATAGCTTAGCTCCTGGTTATCTTCATGCCAAGTTTGTAAATCGTTCTAGCAGTCATAATTATTCTTTGAGGGACAGCGATGGAAAACTTATCCTCCCCTTGCTACGAACAAATGTTTTGCAAAAGAAGTTTTAGTTACTCAGGGTCCTCCTTATGGAACGACCTACCAATTGAATTAAGAACGGCCAAGTCCCTAAGGGCATTCAAATCCGGCTGTAAAAAGCATTTCTCCATAAATAAGGACTAAACTTCACAAGGCACTCATGTAAAGCAGTTATGTGAATTTATTTTTCTTATTTGTTATATTCAATTGCATTCTTAAATTTTTGCATTTTCACTGATTGCGACGTCCGTGTATAAATAAAGATATCTATCCAATCTATCTGATCACGTGATACTTGTTAAAACCAGCATACAAACCTATCACAGCATTTTGGGTTCTATGGAATTTATTTCCTAAAAGTTGACTTAAAAATTGATGCTGTAACTTTTCTAAATCAAATGATGACAGATGATATATGCTCTCGAATATCTTGAACGATGCTTAGAATAAACGTCATTTTAAAGGCTGTGTTTACTTGGTGGAATGTTTTAGTGGCGGATACGATTGTGGCCTTTGGATCATAATGATTTTGCCATGATCTAGACGATTAAAGAGGTGCCACTTTGTTGTTGTATTATTTGCTTGGTGTTCATCAAATATGGCGGTTTACACTAGTGAAATGTTATCTTAAAGACAGTCGTGGAGTGAACATGTTATCAGTCGCTGTCTGCTTTGGTTATGAAAACAAAGCAGACAATGATTGGACAAAATACTGGTTCACCATTTGCCTCTTAAAAAAGCGCAGAGATAGATGCTACTACTAATGGGCTGCTGATGTGGGAATATGCTTACTCACAGATCCAGTATGGGAGATGGATGCTCCTAGTAATGGGCTCCTGATGTGGGAATATGCTTACTCACAGATC